GTTTTAAAAAAAGTTTTAAAACAATAAAAAATGTTAAAAAACTGTTTAAAACGTTTTTTTACCATCCCTCGTGCCACGAAGGAAAAGCATGAATTTTTCATCAAATAAGATTACAGGTTTTCCTTTGCGGCACTCAAATAATCACAAGTTTGGTTGGATTGGAAATGGATTGATGCTAATTCTACGATGTACAGAATATGTAAAATGAATTTAGTAGAAGAATTTTATGAAATAATTCACATATCTTCCAATAAAGCTATCAGTTAAATGAAGATTAAAGTTTGTTTAATCAACGATTTGCTAAATTGATAATCCCAGAGGAAAAAATTTCGCCCATCACTAATTAACATACAGTATATAGTGTAAAAATTGGCAATATGTTACTGTCCTAATTATTTAGTTTGTTTTACTCTGAACAGAGGTTTCTTATTCCTAAAAAATTACGGATAATTTTAGAAATTTAAATTTCATCGGACAATCCATTTGTCCAATTACCCAACCCTGTACATTAGGTCCAAAGTTTTGTTCAAAAATAATGCATATGGGCGTCTCGAAATAATGCGTAAGCGAACAAAATGACGCGTTATTTCGCGACTATACAGTAGGTAAATTTATTGTTTTAAAAGTTCGCGCTTTCTGCACAGAATTAAAGTTTACAAGTCGTTATTCAAATATAAATGACTGTACATATAAATACAATCTAACCTCGTTATAGTCACTCTCAATATAGTCACAACCTTGTTATAATCAAACTATTTTTTTGGTCTAGCTAATATAAACATATAAATTTGAGTCCCAACTTTTTATAATCACCAAAAATTTGCTTCCCAACCTGGTGATTATAACGAGGTCAGACTGTATATATATTTTATTTAATTTAATAATTTTGGATAACAGATAATTTACATCATGACCAATCCTAATCATTATATAATATATATATTGCTCCCTAATTAGGATTATTATTTGGATAACGATAATTGTTATGTGTCGTATCATATTCAACATATTGTGGTTGAACGTCGTGTTGCACGTAACTAATTACAGGCACATTACCTTCATTTCCTTGGGATTGATGATATGAAGCACCATCTATTGGCATCATAAAATGATATGATTGTTGTTGAAACACCTGTTGTTGATAATTATAAAATGTAGTCACAGGCGTTTCTGAAAAAGTTCGAGAAGGTAAATCAAAATAATGGTGCTGTTCTTCGGATTTAGTTGAGTTGTCATCATCAGAATAACGCAAAACTTGACGAGTTGTGCCTTTTTGAGTTAATAAAGTAAGTTTAATTCTATATTTTTGATAACACCAAATTATAGAAAATCCTATAATGAAAGCTAGAACGACAGCACCAATAATTATACAAAGTATTGATAAGCTGATAGAGGTCGAATTGTTTGATGCATCTTTACGAAATAATAGAAAGTTATTTAACATGTGTTGTATAAAATAATTGAAATGAAATATACTTGCTTGATTGATATGAAGCCACCCAATTATAGGAACTTGTATTAAGCAAATAAACCCTATTGTTAACACTTGATTGTTTGGAATAGGTCTCGGTAACATTGCCTGTATGATTAATTATAAATGTATTAATATAAAGTTTTTGTAATCTTTTAAGCATATTCATATGTATAAAAGAATGTTTACCAAATAACAAAATCATAAAAGAATCTATAATCACCGCAGTATGACCCACAAGAGACCGATTGGCGGTACTAGATAACAATTCGATATTTGGAGCTGACCATTGAAACAGAGTCGATGAAACATTAAGAACTGCAAGGTCTGGTGAAACTTTACTATTGCCTATACCATTGGAACCGCCATAAATAATAATTTTTTCATCAGGTGCTTTAAAAGGAAAAACTATAATAGTAAGAATACTATCTTAAAATATTATTTTAATACATGTAAGTGTGATCACCTAATACTGCTGAATGGTAAATTCGAGAGCCAATAGTATTATTATTAATAAATTCAGCATTCTAAACAATGAAAGTCTAATTAAATTTTAACAATAAAAAGAAGTTATATACTGTATGACTTTGAAAAAAAATACATTAAGTGACCATTCTGCAGATCTCGTATGGTATGTCCAAATCTACAGGCATAATTGATTTGTTAAGTAGTTAATAAACAATATTAATAACTTTATGCATGTACATATACCTGACTCATGTTCGCTAGCGTCGGAATACTAGAATTACCACTCAGTTCCCAACCGCCGATAAATACTATTACTCCGCTTTTCAATAAAGTAGCAGTATGTCCTGATCTTTTTGAAGGAGCGAAATAAGATGTCATATTTGACCAGGAAAAATGAATAGAATCAAAAATTATCATCTCATTGAACCATTCGGATGAATTAGAAACAGATTGTCCTCCAAAAATATAAATATATCCAGAATCTGGGTCATAAGCATATTGTAAATCGTACTTATCATTACTTACATTTGTAGCTGTTTCAAATTCATAAACATTTTCAAGGTATAGAATAATAACTTCCTCAAGTTCGTTTGCCCTTAATGATTTTCCATGGATCCTATATTTAAATTTATTAATATATTTTAAATTTCTAAAATTTATGATAATTAAAAAATTTACCTTGGATTCAACAAATTCGCAACTGCCATTGTGAGGTGAAATACAAAATCAAACCATTTATCAATTAAATCTAAAACCCTTAATTTAAAGTCAAATTCTAAGTCACATGAATCAACTGATTGTCGAATTAGTTCCCATTCAGAGTGGACATGTGAAAGTAAAAGTTCATCTGATTCAAATAAATGTATAAACTTAACAAAAGGCGTTAAGAAAGAAGCCAGTTTTTCCATTTCATTCCATAATGAATCATTTAGTAATTGATCACGAAGATCATGTGCAATTTTTTTACCAATTTCAGGTCCATTTGAATCCCTAACCTGCATCGAAGTACAGATTTGACTGCATCTAAACAGGTTCCCCACCGGGTTTCAACAGGTTGAACCAACATAACTGTCTCTGGCTAATTCATTAAAATTGATTCTGCTTAATGATGTGCTCGAAAAAACTAATAACTTGTTTTACATAGTTCATTAATTTGTCTGCCCATTCAAGTTTAAGCATGTCCTTAATTAAGAGATTTCCAACATGTGCACTATAGCCTAAACAAACTAATTAAGGATAATCTTTATTTAGTAATCTCCAGGCAGCTCGCATAGAACTAGCATTATCTGTGACAATACCAGAGAACTTAGAAGGACCAATAATTTCTTGTTATCTGGCATGATGTGATGGATACATGGGTATTTGGCAGGATGATAGCAAAAGCACGTGGCCGAAGGCCACGTGCGTTGCTATCATCCTGCCGAATACCCATGTATCCATCACATCATGCCAGAT